TTGAGTCTCGCCATTCGTAGCACCATTCAACAACTCGTCAAAGAGAAAAGCGGCGTGGACAGGACAAGGTGCCCTCCTATAAGTCTTCCTACCAATATGACCAAGTTGCGAAAACAAGGTCAAACAACTTCTATACAATGGAAGGAGACTGCGACCATAAAAATAAGACCACACCATCTTGGTTTTCATACTTTCAATCCCACACTAAATTTGAAATAGAAGAGGCTTGGCTTGCTTTGAAATCCACGTCTGTTCTGTAACCCATTTTCATTCGTGGCAGTGTGAAGTAGTGGCCACGTAGAAAATTCAACTATCAGCAACCCATCCTTCTTTGAGCATTTATGTATTCACATTGTCTCACATTGAATTGTATAGCTGGCGAAGCCTGAGGGTATTTGAAGGAGTAACAGATAGAGCTGCTATGTCAGCGATGTAATCCTTAAAGGAATCGTGTCAAATGCCAGAACCTATCAGGGTTCAATAGGCTTGACTCAAACGTCGACGGTTCGATTCAGCTGAGGGTTTTATAGAAGATATGAAGACCAAGATGGTGTGGCCTCTGGTATGGCCGCATGCTCCTTTCGATTTATAGAAGTGGGTTGACCTCGTTTTCCCAACTTGGTCTTGTTGTCAGATCGACTTAGTAAAACGCACCTAGTCCGAAGTCGTCTGCCATAGTAGTTGTCATAATTCCTATATTTTTGACTCGGAACATTCTTAAACGTTTCCCCGGCATCGTAGTCGGCATCATCAGTGAGTTTTGTCTGATGCTGCGAATTATGACAACTACCATGGCAGACGACTTTGGACTAGGTGCATTCTAATAAGTCCCCCTGACAACAAGACCAAGTTGCGAAAACGAGTTCAACCCACTTCTGAGGGTTTTATAGTTCAGCCTTTGCGGATTCATGGCAAGGAGGAATTCATTGCGCAGACTCGCAGTAAGGAACCGGATGAAAGTTGTATGCCTCTCCACACATGTCGCTTCCTGCCATCTCAGTTCGAGTAGCATTTACTTGATCGGCCAATCAAGATGCAGTCTCTTT